GCACGGGCCCCGTAGGCGCCGCCATGATGGCTTCCACTCACATCTACGACGTGTCGGGGGTAAGAAATGTCTCTTGTATGATAGCTTGTGCGTCCTCTCAGTAAATACAGAGCTGAATCCCAGATCTAATCTCTTTGAAAATGTTTTCTCGCAGTGATGGTGATCAATGTTAGTTGGTTTTTCGTGTCTTGATGTGTGTCTATGTTGATGTTACACATGGAGCTGCTTTGACTCCAGTCAACTTTCAGACTTGATCTGACCATTAAAGTGTTATCGTATCGTAACTTCTGTCTGTTGCCATTCCTTATATCTCTTCCTCTGTGTTTCTCCGTCCCTGCAGGCCATGGCGGCCCGTAAGATGGGTGGAGGGCAGGAGTCTCAGGGCGTGGAGGTGGCGCTGGCCCCCGAGGAGCTGGAGCTCGACCCCATGGCCATGACGCAGAAGTACGAGGAGCACGTCCGAGAGCAGCAGGCGCAGGTGGAGAAGGAGGACTTCAGCGACATGGTGGCCGAGCACGCCGCCAAACAGAAGGTACACACACATTATTTATCCAGCACAGCAGCATTACAACGGTTTTAACTGAATAGCTCTAACAGTTTTTATATATATGTTTATATCTACTTCAAACAACATTTAAAACCAATAGTATTCTTGGTTGTTAATGTCATGCAAGTGTGATATCAGGTACAGTTCATTTGAGATTCATCCATATGCAGTATGTTATGCTTGAATGAGTTCCCGATGTTACTGCAGGCTGGCTCAAAGACAATATTTTCCCTTTCTTCAATAACAGATGACCGGCTGCATCGTTAAAAATAGAACAGCTGCTCATATTTAAAAGCCCCCTGTGATAAACTAATGACTACTTGTGTAGGAAAGACATGACTCAACAAGTCCTTTATTCAGAAGCTCGAGGGAAGTAGGAGTCTGCTAAAGCAACGTGGTTTAGAGTAACTTCAGTTGTCCCTTTTTTTCATGGTGACTTTTGAACATTAATAACTATCTTTCTTGCTCTTTCTCACCATACAGCAAAAAAAGAGGAAGGCCCAGCCGCAGGACACGAGAGGCGGCGCCAAGAAATACAAAGAGTTCAAGTTCTAGAGCGAGACGACACGGCGCCGCGAGAGACCAAGCCACCACGGGAACCGAATGAGGAAGTGCTGTTCTCAGATTTTAACTCCGGAGGATGTAAACATCGATCATCTGTCAGACCAGTAACTGTTCACACAGTTTTGTTCCTTTTTTTAAAACTATAAATAGATGATTCATGGCGTAAGTCACATGGTGTTTCCTGTTTGACCCTACGTCTTTTTTCATTGTATCCATTTTTTTCTGTTTTTTTTGTAAATAAACGAATGATAACAAGCGTTCAAAACCGCTGTGCCTCTGGTTTTCATTTGATTGCTTTGGGGGGGGGCATTAGATTATGCTGCCAAGCCTTCGTCAGCTGATCCAGTCACAAGCAGAGTGACCCATTTACAGTCGACCGTAATGTCGAGCAATAACATTTACAGGAAATATAATTAAACGGTTACCTTGAAGAGTAACATTTTAATTATTTTGGTTAACGGCTAATCCATATTTTCCTCTGAATCAGGCGTATTGCCAAGTAGCTTACACATGGGTTAGGGTATTAGCTTTGATGTATAGTGGTGTATACATACAGTAACAGGAAATAAGTAACTTTTTTTAAACAATCTTAAATGCTTGCAAGAAATATAAAGAAAATGATATACCAGAATGAATGAAATATGTGCACTATATCAGATTGGAGAGTAGAAAAGCTGTGCATTTTGTATAGAAGAGGTAAAGGAAAGGTTTAGGATTTTATTTATTTTATTTCCTATTGTCACTTGCCAATAATTAATATATTCACACCACCACATTTTGAATTGGGGTATTATGGAAATAATACCTTTTTAAAATGTCCACAGTTTTGGATATTTAGTTGTCCCTTTTGCACATTTTTACTTATGTTTATATGAATATTTCCTGTTCTGTAAAAAAATGATCAAATAAAATATGTATTTGTTTATCAAAACCTTTAATAGCAACACCATTTTTGACGCTATAAACATTTATATCTGGCTCTTGAGGGCTCTGAAGTGTACTTCTTGTGCCATATACATCAAAAGTAAATCAAAAAAATAATATTAAAGGTCTCATGTCATGGCCATTTCTGCTGATCATAATTCCATTGTTACTAAAATAGATTTACATTGTGCAATTTTCCAAAATCGGAATGGTTTCTCATACAGCATCTCTGTAAAGTATGTGTATTCACTCTCTGTCCTAAAC